TGGTTCTGTGACTTGTAGTGATGCTAAGGGCTTTTTTTAAACTTTGGAAGAGACCGCGGGAAATCAAAATCGTTCCAAGAAATGTCAAAATGAAATTGCAGAGGTTCAGTGACCCTATAATTCCATAAATGCAATTTTCATAATTCCGATAGGAACACTGTCATATACCGAAATATATCGAAATCCACATTTGTTTTCCTCTCGATAATACCGCACACGTTTCGATATGATCTGCACAGCTGAATCATCAAATCTCAGATGCACTGCTGTTTCTTCAATCTAAATACACGGGATGATTGATATAGCGCAATAGGCATCTCTCATACATACAGATAACATGTGTTTGGTAGGAATAGAGTTACCATATACTTTTCCTGCCACATTTAACATAGTAATCCACTCCTTAAAGCGGCAGATCAAAAACAAATAGAATAATTTTATGCTTAATGTACATGCTGACGTTCATCTTAAAGAGTAGATCACAAATAAAAAAAAACTAGTAAAACTGACAGGAAAATTTCAAGCAAAAATTGGCAACGGTAACATCAATAAAAGTATGATAAGCTTGTTCAGTTTCATAACTTCCGTAAAAATCTTGCAACAGAACTGTGATTTAAATTTTCTTGTTTGTCTCAGCAATAAGCAAGTGATTTAAAAATGTTTACTGCAAAGGCAAATTGTTTCAATTATGAAAAAAACTCAGTATTGTGTACCAAAATCATTTGTGATGAAATCACTAATACCCTACACACGGAAAATGTAATTTGCTTTGAGTCATTTGCTTTTTAGGGAAGCTGGAAAAAGTGTCATTCTTTTTAAATGTGTAAACACCTAAGACGTTTTGTTTAGAATACTTACATTGCACAGAATTGTAGAATATAGATGTTAGACTTTATCTATTCATTACACGCGTACTTTCCCGACAATCATAAACTACTGGCAGCAGTTCCAACACTGCTTTACATCAGATAAAAAGAAATCAAAGGAATATTTACAAAGTGGAGTCTTAGAATGCGGTAACAAAATTACCTGTTGTCGATCATTGGCGTAAAATATCTGTTACGGTATTCACACAAAATAAAGAAGGAATATAAAATGTTACTACGTTGTACATCGAAAAACTAAATGATTCGGAAATACAAATCAAAAGCAACATGTTGATAGCACCATCTGTTACTAGATCGTATTCAATTAAAGCAACATGTTGATAGCACCATCTGTTACTAGATCGTATACAATTAAAACAACATGTTGATAGCACCATCTGTTACTAGATCGTATTCAACTAAAGCAACATGTTGATAGCACCATCTGTTACTAGATCGTATTCAATTAAAGCAACATGTTGATAGCACCATCTGTTACTAGATCGTATACAATTAAAGCAACATGTTGATAGCACCATCTGTTACTAGATCGTATTCAATTAAAGCAACATTAGAAAGGCTGGTTACAAAACAAAAACTAACCCAATAAAATGACCGGCTGACAGTTGAATAAGAGGTTGGATCTTCAAAAAAAAGATATCCTGACTTGTTGTGTTAGTAAGAATCTTCTCGGATGGGGTAATTTCGAACTAAAATCGAATTTGCAATTTATGTTGTCCGTGATGTGTTATTCTATTCAATACGTTTTTGCCAAATTTTGAGTTTCAATACGTTTCAAGAGGACAAAATATCGTTTATTAAGGATTGGGATATGTGTAAGACTTGTACAAAGTTATGGATTTTTTTAAAAACTTTATTGAAATATAACTGGCAGAATATATTTTTGATACATTCGCTAGAGATCATAAAATTTATTTCTTTTCTTGTAGAGCGTCCCTTGTTGTATAAGTGCCTCTTTTGGGTCTTAATGGCATCATTTGTTGCCTCCTGAGGTCTGATTATTATTTTACAGCGCATTTTGCTTATAGCCTTATATCAAAGATGGTTGTTTTATATTTCAACCTGACGTCTGTTCCTAAGAAGATATTACATTTAACACTTATCCAATAAGGCTGTTGTCTATACCATTCTGTTCTGAAATATACATAATTAGGTCTACTAAACTCTTTCATTTATTCAAAATGTGGTTCAAAGGAAAGTATCTTGATTAGATGTTGCAAAGGAAGTATGGGGATGCCAATAACACTTTATGGTCAGTAATTGAAGAGTACAACAAAAATCCTAGTCTACATTTTGGAGAGTATCCAAGAGATATGCCAGGAATCAACACATACGTCATTCTGCTACACTGGGTGCCTTTGTGTTGTAGAAGTTTGAGAATTCTCCCTGCTAGGTAGACTCGATTTAATCACTCGGTCATCACAATACACATGTTTCATTATCACAAGCCCATTTTTTTCAAACATTAAGAAAGCAAATGAAGTTGATGTATGAAGTTTGCTATTACAAAATCGCAGAGATCAATGGAAACAAAAGGACATTACACGTCCCTTACTGTTGTATTGTATTGGGGTTTTATCTATAGACTAGCATGTAGCATTGCTTTCGCCGAAATCTAAAACTGATCGTAAAGGATAAAATGTCTAAAAGATTGGTCCAGATGTGCTTGCCTCGAATAAGTTGTTATCAGACACTTCAAATCCTGTACCGAAATAAAGCATTAGACAGTATGGAAAAAACTTAATTTTATAGAAAATAATGCTAATTCTTAAATTCTAGTTAAACGATATTGTTAAACTAGACTCAAACTTTTTTTATATAATAATTATGTAATTCGCGGCATTACTTCCAAGCTATCCTTCCTAAAATTACATTATTTTGTTGTTTAGCACAAATAAAAAAATAAATTCTAGTATTTAATGATGTTTCTTAACATTCAAGATTTTTGATATGTTTTCAAATTATGGTCAGCCTCCTGAAGAACTTTAGACGTCAAATTATGGTAACTCATATATTAATGCTACATTTCTGTTTCATGCGAAAAAAGTTAGATAAAATATGATTAACATCAGTTGTAGTGGAGGCGTACGCATTTATTCTGTAGCAGCACTGATTGTGTTTACAGGAAGAACTACGAAAGAATCATTTTACTTGAATAAATGGATTCGAATACACAAGTCATATTTACTTAATTAACTCTGACAGGCATAAAATCAAAACCAAGGCACGCGCAAACAGTATGATTATCCATCCGCGCGCATAAAACCGTGCAAACTTTACCTCAAACAGACGATACAGTGTATTTCCTTATCTGCTGGTACACGCTTGTTATCGTTGACGTATCGTTTGCGTGTGCAGAAACTAAGAGATAGTCTCAACTTCTAGGATATCTACTGCACGGGTTATCAGCTATCCAATTATACTCCTGTGGAGTCTTCTTTAATACTATCATACTTTATCTACTTTACATAAATAGGATTCATGTGGAGGCTCTTAAGCTTGTTAACATTATATCTAAACATCCTGTTGTGTGACAGAAGCAAAAGAATATTTGTTCCAAACTACCAAGTTACACAAAATGGGACAGCATTTGTAAAAGTACTAATTTCCCTAGCGCAAATATGTTTATATAAAAGAGATAACTTCGTCAAGATGTGATTGATGTGGACGATTTTACTCAGTGATGAGTTCAATTTTAGAGCCACTAATCGTCATGGATATTGATCCCTATTATCATTTCTTTGTTAATGTGGCTTATGTGAAAATAGGAAATAGCGCGTTTTAAAAAATCTCTAGAATGATGGTTTCTAAAATATGTAGATTTCTCTTTGAGAATTGTATTTATAAAATATAAGATAAAACCTGATTCCATATTTCGAGAAAACCTCCAATAGCTTAAAAGAAAAATGATAAATTTACGTCTTTTCTATGTTAAAACTACATAATGGAATATAGTTCACTAAAAGTATACAATTTATCTTTTGCTTAGGTTATTAGGTTTAAACCTTCTTGAAAACAAATTAAGCATTTCATTAAGAGTCATCATTATAAAAAGCTAGGTTGTATGATTCTTACCTTAAACCCTGATCATCAGAACAATAAGTCGCATTATCAGTATGACGTAAAATAATTGTTTAAATACAGAACTGTACTAATGTTTACCAGGCGCAAACAGCAACACAAACATCGATAGAAGTTGATTTATCTGACTACTCCTTATCCATAGCAGAACTATCTGTTAGAGAGAGAGAAATAGACACATCTATGTAAACAAATATCTATTTTCGCGTCAGCAGAACCATTCGCCCGCTTTATGACTCATACTGAAGTATATAACACAAGGAAACGAGGTCGTGGACAATTGAGTTCTGTTTTGTAAATATATTTTATATGTCTGCGCTATTTTTAGATATGCACGTACGTTGAGTCATGCAAACGGTATATCGTTTAATGATTGTTCATGTAAAGCACGTGCACAATGTATGCTTTCGTAACACACATCTTTCATTATTAACATTTTAGTCATGAATTCTAAGGACTAAATAAATGATAAATTTATCACTGTTATATAAATAAATTTCTTTGGTCAAAAATAAACTACTTGTGAGGAATAAACCATAACTTTTCTATACAAATTCAATGTAGATACGAACACACAAATTTGCCAAAAGAATTGACTACATTTGAATGTCTTCTGCCATTTCGTTATCTTGTTGTTCTCGGGTATATAAATATTGACAACATCTGAAATCATACGGTAGTTATCCTCAAATTTTAATATCAAATTTGAAAATAAATATTCTGAACTCTTAACAATAATATTAAATCTTTATCAAATAAGATCTCAATAATTTGAATAAATCTTACTTATTAACATTAACTTTCATTTGATATAGTTATTTGACTTTCCTTTTTCCCAGAATGTTAGTTTTAGTTTCTTGAGTTTTCAATATTTTACAAATAATAAGCTACAATTTTTTATACATATTTTATTAAGTAGCAAGTAGAAATTTATAACAGTAAGTAGTAGGAATGTACATTGTTAAATTAATACGCTATTAGTATAGTATATACATGTATATGTATGTTTACTAACAATCCACATATTTACAGGTGTGGGAAGGTGTGTCAAATTTTCGGTTTTCTGCATCAGCATCTGATAACCCAAAAACTGCTTCAACATGAGCAACACGAGAGCGCAAAAATCTGGAGCCGCTTGGGGCATTGAAAAGAAAATGGAGGAAGTAAGCGTACTTGTTATCATTGTGCTGTTTCATTTTCTTTATTCAGGATAAGAACAAGGTTAAACCGTCAAGATGTCCACACGAGCCAAAAAATCCGGTGTAGCGTATGACATCGAACGGAAGATGGAGGAAGTAAGAGAAGATCAGTATTAATGATGCGCTTGAAACAAACGGCTGATTAGTGTTCTTCTAGTAACAAGCAGAGATCTGTAACAAGATGCAGAAACCTTCGGATTTCGGATATATGTTTTTTTCTAATCGTTCTAATCGAATTATTGTTTCGTTTTAACAGTAAAAGTAATGTGAAGCAAAATTTTTTTGTGTTGGAAGAACACTAATTACTTGCCATGATATCAGTTATAATATAATGAATGCTTTTTGATATCAAATAGTGATTATGTGTTATATTTGATATATGTTTCTGTCTGTGTCACATATTGTCACAAAAATTATCTTACACGTGTCAATAGCGAAACATCAACTAGGCGAAACATCACTGAAAAAAATATCACAAAGCGTTCATTATCATTGTAACCTGATTCTTTTGTAGTGACTGCTCGACCTCGATCTCGGAGGACTGCCAACACTAGAGATGCATGAGTTTGTTCCCCAAAATCATTCATACATAACCTGTATATCACGTGTCTCTGTTCACAGTACCCCTTCCCTACTGTTTCATCTTCCAATCATCGTCATCAGCGTCGAGATGTCTTTAAGATCTAGTAAGGCGGGCTTTGGTTATGAAGTTCAAAGAAAAATGGAGGCTGTAAGGAAACCTATCAAGTACAATAACGTTGTTTCTAAGACATGCATTTACTCGATGAAATCACATGAGAATATTATAGTAGATTAGCATGAATCATAACCATTTCAATATGTAGTGTTTATCTAAAAGACCGTTTGTTGATGCCATCTCTTCGTATGTAGGAAAATTTGTTGGTTTGTAACAAAAAGTAAATATACTCTTTTCTGTTAATTTTTCTGTCCTTACTTTATGAATTTAGGATTTTTTAAAAACTTGATAGCTCTAAGGTAAATATATAATTTTCAATATTTCACTCTTTGAAGTCTGAGCTGTTTTAAATTAGAAATAAAAACAGATAACGACAAAAAAATCTGTTTAAATAACAATAGCGATAAAATTGTGAAATCTTATATACGTTTTGTTTAAAACGCTCCACTAATTTTATGCAATAAGCCATGGGAGGTAACTCTTATTTTCAATTTTTCTATCAACAATGAGGTAATGAATACAGATCGGCTTGTTACCAAATATTTTTTAAAGAATGAAAAATGGATGATCATATAATATCATATATCTAGAATAAGAGATGGTATCGCAATACTTATACTTATGAAAATTGTAGATTTTATTTAGACATTCTCTATTATCATAAATGGAGTGATATGCATGATAGATCCGTTAGATATTAGAAACAGAATAAAATTATTTACAATGTAGTAAACAAAAACTGGTCTAAGTTTGTAGTTCAAGGCTATTAGCCTTGATGTATGCAATCATTTTAAATGCCATTGATGACATTTCCCCCCTTTTTCAGATTTTTTACCTTTCGAATTCCTCTTCAATTTCATTTCAAGTTCAATTTCATTATTGCACTTACATAGTATCACTTCATCATTTGGATAATATCTTACTCCGTCTTTATATGGACAATATTTAAAGCAACTTCAGTTTTTATTTTGTTAACCATTCTTATTTCAACGATCATTTGATGGATATCCTTCGCCTACCATTTTCGTAACCATCAATTTTCTACTTTTCTGTTTACTAAGTATGCGCATATGCGACCGCTTCAACACGTAATATATCACCAATCAAAAATATATTTTTTGTTTCAAAGTTTTCTATTTTGTGTTATTGGTTTTAGTTTTCACTCAGAAATAAGGTTTCAAATGATCTACACACGACACACGTATTGCATTTTATGAAGCACTCGTCACCTGCCATGCAAGCGCGTACGATCTTTATATATGCACTATATCACCAATTTTACTGCTCATTTTTCATGTCATGTCATAGACCACCTTTGTTTACTGTGTTTGTCCAATCAGCAATGACCTATTTAAAACGAACCGTGCTTGATGTTTACTAGATATGGTTCTATAATTTATATTTTAATTGAGACTTCGGAAATCCAATGATAATTCATGGAGTCATCTGTCCCTAAGGCGTTCGTTTTAGATAGGTGAGGGTCAAAAATATTGTCGTCCTTTTGTTCTTATTGTCCTATTCTGTATTAATTTGTTACATTTATATACGGATACCATAGAATAAAGACATATTAATTAACAAATACTTTCAATTTGAAACTGATAAAATGAGGTCAAAACTTTGACAACAGAAAGTTTCAAACGAAATCCTTGAAAAAAACATCAGAGGAAGACACCCCTTTGTTCAATAACGGCCAGCGAGTCTTACCACATCTACTTTTCTTATACGAGTGCACAGAAAATTTTATTTTCAAAATGTTGGTTAGGAAAAAGGACTATTTGGATAACATAAATGAGTGTTTGTGAATTTGAGGTAATGAATGACATAACAAAATCTGTTAACAGCAAAGTAGGATGCATACTACTGTCAACAGGAACTGAAGATTTTCTGAACATATTTTGCATGAAGAATATAAAAAAAGAAGACGACTATGATTGGTAACAATAGTGTAATATCCTATTAGATAATACATAGTTAATTGTTTTCAATTTCATATACATATATATCACGGCATCATTTACTATGTATTTAGTCATCCCTGTGTCTTGCACTCATATAATAATGGTCTAGTGTTACTAAAAATTCATTATGATTATATCACATATATACTGGAATTTTATATGGATGTGATGGATATTTTGACACTCTGAAAATAATCTGCAAATAATTGATGATTTTTTTTGTTATATAACATGTATTTGAAAGAGTAGAATCAATCTTCTGATACCTATGTTCTACTCAACAGAAATTGACTTAAGAAATTAGCTTTATACTCAAATCCACGACTGTCATCTACTGGATTAGTAAATGTGTTTAAGAATACTAACGAATATTGTATTGCCTACGCGGTCATTGTTTAATTATTTAATTTTTTTCGATAATCAATTATTTGCAAATTATTTTTTATTTATAAAGATATTATCACAAGTAATGTGTTTATTGCTGTGTTTAACAAGATATGAACATTCGAATTATATATCATATTGATCACTGTAACAATAATAACTTCATTTCCATTCGTTTATAAGATGAACGTATAAAAAGAGTAATTCAACAGAACATTGATAATGTTAACATCTATGTTTTCTCTTGGTTTTCATGATATATCTTTTATACTGAATATTAATTTGATTTTTTTTTCATTTCATTAAGTATCATGTGCTATGATGAATTGATTTTCTATTCCATTTTCAGATGTTATGTTTTTTTCACGTTTATAACCAGCAAATGTAATATTGTGTCACATTAAAGTGAATGAATTTTATTATTTCATTGATGCTATGAAAGATATGCGTATCATGTTGAACTATATTTAAAAGGTAACGTATATGGAATATGTATCACACATTGTGTAAAGTAAAATCTGAGATGCCTTTCTTTCTATATGCTTATTAGCAGTAAACATATTTAACTATCTGTTTATTTCAAAGTTTGAAAAAAGGCAATGAAACCAAACGAACTCACTTTGTTTAAGAAGGAGACCAAAAAATAAGGAGTTCGGTTGTCTAGAACAATTTGACAGTTGCTTTATATGGTCATACCAGAAGTAAACTTTGACTGTTCAGAAATGTGGAAATGTTACTGGTTATATCTTTCAAGAACAATGCGACAAATGAATGTTCTGGTAAGGAGATATTAAATCAAATCTATAAAAGATGTTCTTGGATGGTTCGTGGTTTGCCAAACGTTTAACGAAAATATCACTTTTTACAAACAAAAGGAACGTATAATGGACTTCACTTGAGTTAAGTTGTCATGGTGTCCATTTTTCGCGATGTTGAAACATCCCCGAAAATTTGCTTTTCGTCCTTTTGTGTACAGAACTATGACAGAGAGGAAGCACAAGGTACTCCTAAGCACATCAGAGAATGGATTAACAGTGTGATGGCTAATGACCCTAACTACACAAAATGCGTAAGTATTTCACTGTATTAATGTATTGTTTTTGTTACAATCATTTCTTTTGATTTTAATTCCTCGTGTCCAATATGTCTCCATTAGTTATAAACTGAAGCTGACAATCTTTGAAGACTACAGGAGCAAACCAATTGCAAAAATCTTAAACATTTCAATTCATCAAAAAGGAATATTTTGTACATATTATCATCTGCTTATGCTTTTGCTTTTGTTTGTATTGTGTTATATGCTTAAGGAACTTTTCTGTAATGATACAACTAATATCAAAACTATCATAAAGCTCCAAAACTTTATCAACCGACACTATACGGTTGTATCCTTTGCTAATATTGACTTATAGAAACAAGATATATCTTAAACGTATGTTGACGTATATTTTGTCTCATCAGTTTTGATTATCTCTCAAAGTAGTGACTAAAATTGCACAGAACATTTGACATGCACATCTAATTGAATAACAGGTGTATAATACACTCGCTATTGATATATGACGTCACAGAATCGATGTGAATATAGAATTTATTCGTACGAACATCCGTGACGTCACTAAGGACGTCGGTTTCCTTTGCTTGAATTCGCTAGGTTGACAAAAATATATACAAAAATAGATGAATAAATAGATATTTGAATAAACAAACCAATACCATCAAAAAGTCTATATACAGAACAAACTCAAAAAAATTCAAAATCAATTTGATATTTTGCATTTACTTATCAATTATGCTAAACATTTTGCATATTTTTTTCATGAAACTAACTCTTAATTCTAATTTATAACAATTATGAGGTATATGTTACCTAATGATTATTATATAAAAAGCTGTCTTTGAATAAAAATCCAAACCCTACTGTTTTATCTGTTTTATGTTTATTGTATGACGATCTATCCACAGAAACTATATTATAGTGGAGAAACATGAGCGCCAGTGGTGCCGATTTACAGGTATACATGGTTTGATCAGAACGCCACCAGAGTGCATTTTCGAACACCACCATTTTCCAATATTTTATCTCCATGTGATGCCCCGAAATCTCATTCCAGACCAAACACCTATTGTAGATGCTTGCGGAATCAATGGTACGCCATTTGTGGTCTCTTGAAAATGCGTGAAAATCTCACTGATCCTTTCGTTATTATTCATTCCTGAAGCCTTAAAGTCTCATTTCATATATTTTTTTTTTTTAATATCTGCAACGAATCAGCACCAGAACAAACTATAGTTTTTAATTTGGGTTAATCCTACTCTAAATTTGTACCGAAAAGAACTGATATAATGTGTGTCGTTCCGTGCAATAATTGGAATTTTCAAAGATGTTTTCAATGTCATTTCCCTTGAACACAATGGCGTGCGGTTACATTCCAGTCTCCTTCACAAAAATATCCTCCAAATCCTTACAATGACGATAGGGAAAATACCTACCTTCCCTCCATCTAACCTGTGAAAAAAGTGATATATGTTCAGCAAAGAAATTCACGCGTGGCCAATTAAAAATGTTGTCAATCTTTAAAACTTCAAAGATTTGTTTACAAAAACATTTGAAACAAAAATAGATAGTGTATTAATTTCTATAGCAAGATATTTACGGTAACGTATAAAATATTCCATGCAATGAATGTGATTACATATATGCTTGCCAGCTACCTGTTCATCAATTGATTGATCGTATCATTTAAATGTTTGAACTTTTTAATTTGAGTGAATCCTGATTTTTTTCAGTGAAAAAAATCCCGGTATCATCAAGATTTTATGCATTTTATACTGCCACTCTTTTATATAAGAATCGAAACCAGGAGTTAAATGCCTGTTCCAATTTGCAAACTTTGAAAAAGTAGATACTTAGGTATGTCAAAATGAACTTTCCACTTGAAATATTGTCAAATTTCCATAGTGCAAAATAATCAAAATAGGCCTCATTTTAAAAGAAGTTGAAATTCAAAATTCACAGAAGCAGGCATACTCCTTCCATCTTTATTTTAATTTGATTTAAATTGTTTACAATGTGTAATCTAAACACCATTTTTTATAAACCCGAGTATATATATCAACCCCATAGTACTAACCGCCTGGAGAATCCCACCCTTCCTCACCTTATGTCCTCTGATCTTTTTATTTTAGGGTGACACTGACTGGAAAGGCTTTTGCACCTTTTTAAGAGACGGTGTTGTTCTATGCAAGTAAGTCACGTAAATCTATAAAGTAACAGGCCTCTTTCTCTCGTTATGCATGCCTTCTTTAACATTAACTCCTAACTAATAGTTTCCATAATAAAATCACCTCTCCGACATTTCATCAGCTCCATGATAAATTTAAAAGTCACAAACAATTTTGAAACTGTTTTCCTATAGTCAATGTAAAGAATTATCTTAAGGACAATGGAATGTGATTGATTTGTAGGACAAACTATTTATCTTTGGTTCCCAGTTCAAACACTTTGCAGTGTAATATAACGGTCCGTCTTCTAATATAACGTTGCATTCTGACATTTTAATACATATTTTGATATTTCTGCACATGTGTTCTATGTATTTTTTTATGCCTTTCATTGTATTCTGAACCAGATTAATTCAAAAGTACGTTAACAGAGTTACAACAAATACTAAAGAAATATTATGACCATGGAACTATCTAAATGTGTTTGTCATTCTAGATCTTGTGGAAAATATCAACGTCGGAAATAAAATAGTAACCTATCCTTGTTTTGCATACCATCTTGCTTTGAAAAATGATGATTCATGCAGGCACAGGTTGTCTGGACATATCACGTTACAATGTCGTAGATCTATGACATTGTATTTTGTCTTGGTTCAAGTTCAAAAGTATCACTGATTGTGCTTCACCTGCTGTTTGTATAACGTATTCGAGCTTTCATCGTTCTTTATTAAAGTGATTGATATTGTAACAGCTCTTTTATCGTTTCCATTGACGAAATATCGACATATAAGGTCATTTGATAATTTTTGATTATCGTATACTTTAATATTATGAAGTAAATGTCTAAACATTGAATTTTGTGAAACATCATTACTTCCCGAAGTAGTAAAAGAAAAATAAGAAAGAAAAAAACTTGTTTCCTGTGTATATCCTCCATTTGGTCTTCGGTAAACATCAAATCTGACAACCTTTCTCGCCAAAATGTAATCAGCTGTTTTTACAATTTCATCATTTGTCGCGTTAATCCGTCGGTGCGTACAATTGTTATTCATAGTACAAGTGATTATAAGATTTGTTTCTTTGATGTTGCATATAGATGCGTATACTGCAATTTGAAAACAGAAATTTCAACACAACACGGCATCACGCTTCATTTAAAATATCTGTAGAAACAAGAAACAAAAAACGAATTCTCAAATATGATCATATGACATTTTGATTCGATTTTGATTTTAGGTTCCTCAACGTTTTATTGGCAAGCGATGACAAACCCAAAGTATCGTTCACTAAGAAGGTCGCAAACAGCTTCGCTGCAATGACAAACATCGAAAACTTCAACAAAGGATGTGAAACATACGGTCTTGCCAGGGAGTTCTCCTTTCAGAGCGGAGACTTATGGGAATTACGCAAAGGGCCATTCTACAACGTCATTAACTGCCTACACAGCTTAGGTTTCACGGTAAAATGGCATTAATATTTTTGTTCTATTATATATAATATTATATTCCATATTTAACAATATTACACGTACATAATTTATATATAGTAATCTAACAGATTTAGTAGTAATCTGACTGAAACGGTAAGTGATTCTATCTCCGAAATTAGAAATTAAAGTAAACATATATGTACTAGACTTCTGAAATGATTATATATATCTAATTATAAAAATAATGGGATTAGTACATCCTCCCATCTAGAATTTCACTTTTCTTCCGATCACTTAAAATTTTCTTCAATCGCTTCTTAGGTTTCTAGGTTTCAAATTTTATGCCAGTAGCACCACTGCCGAGTCTTGGAAGGACGAAAATCTGTATTGATGTATATGTGGCTCTACTATATCTGATTCTGAATTTGTATTCAAATGTGTTATTCATTTGTATATCTGTTTAAAACACATTTCAAACTATTGTTACATACTATATTTTTCCTACGTCATACATCATAAACAAAACAATGAAGTCTAATGTTTATGTTTTCCAGGCCAATTCCAAATCCTTTTGTCCAGCATATAGCGGGGAAGTAACCAAATATATGGACAGGGATTAAACAGCAACGTGACGTCACCAATAACTGCCATATCTTTAGATAATCTGATATTTCATCCGTCCAAGTTTTAACAGGAAAAAGATACCAGTTCTAATGTTTGAAATGAACAAGACCATCGTGTGATTCTAACTACATCGGAAAGCTCCAAATAAACCAAACGAGATGGCAGCTTTAGGTCAACGTCATGCTACAGTGTCCATCTAATGCTATACACGTGTACTACTTCTGTTTATTATTTTATTTTCTGTTTACTTGGCTTTTTTGTCTGTGTCGATGTAGGGCAGAAGGATATAAACGTTTATTGTTGTAAGTGACTGTCGGGGAAATATGTCACCGATGAGAAAAACAAGCATTGTGAAAACTATCACGGAAAAAGAGTCGAAAGAATTTAGTCTGATGTCCGGTATAATTACACAATCACTAGAACCGAATTGTGACAGAATATTGGAGATTCGTGTTTGGATCACGTGGTCTTTATTTTTTGGTGATGTTTTCCTGTTAGGAACACGTTTGTAACGGATCCATGATGGGATTGCATCGTAACAATTCGGACAACTAATATCATCAATATAGTTGGGTTTAAAAATTCCGATGAATACAAGATCTTTGGATCTGAAACAGAAAGGAGACATATTTTTGCAGGATATTGTTTCGTTAATCAAATTCCACTGACTGTTTCAACAGAAAGTCATTCTAGAGGAAATCTACTCGATACAAAGATCAAAAGTATCCGAACCATCACAATAGATTAGACAAAATAAATCGTCTTTATCATTATTTATACAATGAAATTTGCTTATGAAAATAAATATATCATTATTGTTACTATTCCATATGTTGTTTTTTCAAGTCTAAGGCATATATGGTAATATGTTACGATGATGCATTATAGACCACTGAATAATGATGTCCTATTTTACAAAGACACCAAATAGATATAACCTTTTGATACAAATTAAATTTTCGAAACAGTTTTTGCTACATAACGAATGAAATTGTAGTACTCGACTGTGATTCTTGACCTTCAGTGAGTAAGTTTAAAAGACTAGCTATGACAAACAAATTCGATGATTTCCGTAAAGTTTTCATATTTTATGGCGAACAATATCCATATTATAAAGACTAAATTTCTAAATGGAATATAATACTCATGTCAAATATTACAACTGTTCTAACACAAACAACTGAAACAAATTTCTATCATTCATACTAATTATAATTGATAAGGAACTCCAGCATATCATCACAGCGAAAATTTGTCTTCGTCAAAAGAAATATGAAAAAATTCTCATATAATAACAGTTAAGCAAGTTTGAAAGAAAATTAAGATATTATGTCTGCTTGAAAGGTGTGTCAAAAACGAAGAAAATATCGACATATTAACAGAATCTTAATTCAGACATAGATTTAATGAAGCGAGGGCAAAAAATGAAGAAAGAACAAGGAGAATAATACTTTGTTCCGGTAGGGTAAGCGTCTTCTGCTTCACCGATGAATGTACATCTTGGTAAATCCAAGTAAGGGATTTCACATCCCCAAGCTAAACAACAACTGAATCACCAGACGCACACTAAAGAGCACCAAACAAGCCCAACTTCATATAGCACATGAAAGCAAAACATTTCCAAATAAGCCCATTGTGATGACCGTAAAACTTCCCCATACTTTGTATCTGCCTGTATCTCTTGATACCCCTTGTTTGTAAGGTTATCTGTCAGATGACGATATTTGCACAAAACTCCCGGCATACAGCTTGATGGAAAGCTGTTCATGTTGGTTCTTTTGTAGGAAAAGATCGAGGTAAGCGGCGGATGTAGAAGAATCTGTCATGTCCTTGATTGCCGACTCTAGTGGGCATATTATCTATCAACGCATGATCAATATAGTTTAAAGTGAAATTAAAGCACTTCGCAAGGTGTTAATGACCTGTGTTGATAATCTCTTCGATGAATTCAGATTCGTGTGAAATAGACAAGACTGTCAAGAAAGGGGCACAGCTCCATCTTCCAACAGACAATTGGCATACCTATGTGAACCAGCTGCGCCCTTCTGTTAGCCAACTCGTTCTTGATTTCAGAAGAGGCTGAATTTATTGAAGAGCTAATCAAAACAGGTCATAATAACCTTGCAAATTCGTTTAATTTTGCCTTCAGATCTATTGATCACGTCTTGTCTTTAAATAACAAGAAATTCATTGATTACGTCCATCGTATAGATACGACAGACTCTTCTACATCAGCTGCTTGTCTCGATGTTTTACTACAACGAAACCAACATGGGCAGCTTTCCATAAAGCTGTATGTTAAACGTGATGATTTCAATTTCCCTATTGTGAATTTTTCCATTTCTGGAAAGCAACATCCCTGAACCTCCAACCTATGGTATTTACATGTCACAGTTGATTCGATATTCAAGGGCCTGTTTCCAGTATCACGATTTTCGTGCAAGAAGTAGTCAACTGACTGACAAACTCGTAACAGAAGGGTTCAAAAGATGCGGGTTGGTGAAAATTATGGGGAAGCTTTATGGTCGCCATAGTAATCTCATTGAGAAATGTTCTATTTCCTAGTGCGACATGAAGCTGGACGTGTTTGATGCTCGTTGGTTTGCCTGTTGGTTCCGTTGTTGTATATCTTACACTACTTACTTGAACTGACAAAAGTTAGGGCAGGTGTCGTCGATGAAGCAGAAGACGCTTACTCTTCCGGAACACCTGATCTTATTCTTGTACTTTTTTCAGGAGTCTTCGTGTTCATATTTTGTAATAATTTTTGGAATTTGAGTTTGAATTATGATGCCATGTTGGTGTTTTCTTGATGTTTTTCGTACATTAAAAACGACTAGAATTATACTATAATATACACATCAAAATTAATAAGATTATAATCTCCGTTCTTCACGGTACAAATTACTTTTACAGAACATTTGAAAATTATTTTGTTTAGACTGTTCTGAAACGCTTGTGAACGTGAATGTGATGAATTTGTTAAATAAAATATGGTACATTGATGGACGATAAAATAATTTTATAACGTAAAGATGCTTAGGCAAGTATACGTGGGTTATTATTTTGCGCTTTTTCTGTACGTTACAAATTCAATATTTTTTTAAATATCACATTCATGTTCACAATAACATGTATCCTGAAGAGCTGATTTATCCACTTTAAACAGTTAGAAAACGTATCATATTTAACCCGTATCTTATTGACATATCCATGTAAACACCGAAAAAATCAAAGTTTGGCAAAAATTGAAATGTACTTATATTGTAGATTTCTAGAAAGTGCCAAGTCCTCGGAGGGAGGGGCTGTATGAGGTGTTTAATTATTTGGCTCCACTGTATCTGCTTCTACAGTTGTATTGAAAAGTATTCTGTGTTTACCGTTCTTAGTAATATGAAGTCATAGTAAGTTTTAAAGAACCATGAACTTTTTACTAACTTAAGTTCATAATTTGGAGTCTAACAAAAGGCACAGAGGCTTTAACGGTCATCTGACGACAAAAACTTTCAGGAGGGCGAAGGGTTGTTTTTCTACTTTGAATGAAATCTTACGAAGAAGCTGATTCCATGACATTTTGGTGAGGCCTCCCTGGCTGCTGTATCTAAGTTTAGACAAAGTAAAAAAATAACAACACTGTTGGCTAACTATCCTTAACATTCTGAACAATTTTAGCTCAATGGCACCAAGGGAACAGGAGAAGAAGTTTAAAATATGTTTTTCAAAATGGCGGCTATGGCTGCCATCATGGATTTCAGACATACCCGAAAGATAACAATACTTGGTCAGGACCATCTCAGGATTATTTCAGGATCATTCATTCCCACTGGTGGAACTTGAGAAGTTTGAAATGTCAAAAGTTTATACACGTCGCACGACACGCACGATGGACAGTGTACGATGGACAGCGCACGACAGACAAAACATAATGGTTATAAAATTCACACTATGGCTGGATGTATAGTAATACTTTAACTTATTCTTATTTTAGCATCTTTGTTACTGAAAATATTGTGCTGAAATATAATTTAGCTAACTGCACTCTCTGTATAATGTTTGTTTAACTATCATCATGCAGACACAAATTCACCATTGCACTTATTTGCCAAAAAAAATAAAGCACCAAATTTGCTCTTTAGAGTATCTACTGCTTTCAACATTGCAGATTAAAACAAAAACAAACCAAACTTTACATTTTTTTAATTTTTATTTGGCTTATGTCATGTTCTTTTTAACAAATATGTCATCAACAAATATTTCTGATATTCACAAAGTGAACTCGAATGAAGCTGCTTGAAGTTGCTTTTTTCCTTTCTGTCAATTACAATTTTGACAGAGCTTGTGTATATGTATCATACCAATTAATCAGTTTACTAAATAGAAACGGTAAAAAGATCTACTGAAACACATTTAGAAAAGCAAACTTGAGACATGCCTGTTTATCACAAAAAATATTGAAAACTAATTATCCCTATGGAACAAGGTCTGTGACAACATTCTTGTTGCCATATATACATTATGGTCAAATATTGTGGTACTCCTAACACCCTGTGGGTGTAATGTCACCTCTCGATTTGCTTAAGCTACATAATCATATGCAAAATGGCAGATATACACAAGCTGCACTTGTTGAGATGATTAATATTTAGCTGGTCAGTTGGATAATGTGATCCACTAAGTTAGTCTGTAAACAAATAAAACATGTACTGTCTCATATTTAATTGTATTCTTGTAAACAAACTGATTCAGATGATTTTTGGTCCAAAATGTTTTCTAGATGATGGACGTTCACTGATTTTCCACAAAAATTTGAAATATCTGAACATCACAATTTCATTGTTTTGTTTCTTACATTTTTATGAACATACAAGATTTTAACAAACAAGTGGTCTGACAGGCATGTATTCTTACATATATTACAAAATGTAAATTTGCAAACACGTCTCTTATTTGTGATCTACAAAGTGAAATGCTGACAAATCCATCAAAATTGATTTGACAGATAAAATCTTAACATATAAATTTATAAGTCGTCTGACAGGCTTGTATTCTTACATGGTATTCAAACATACAAATTTACAAACACAGCTCTAATCTGTGATCTGTAAATCACCATCAAATCTATCAAAATTTAATTGATAACAAGAAAGCTAGTAGAGCCCACAAACGTTTTGGTTGATGAAGCTGGATGCCCCAGCCAGCTTCAGATCCTTACTACCACACATGTACTTTAAACCCCTCAGTTTAAAGGATATCTAGAAGTAGTTACTAGAGAGTACAGACCTGAAAACAGATACGACTAATATAATCACAGTGTATTTATCACTTACAGGAATAACTGAAAGTGGAGACTTTACTCCTGGACATAAACATTTACAGTGGTATCAAGATATTTAGGTGGTGTTCAGTTATACAAATACTCCAATCATGTCCTGTTTGTGGTGGACACAAAGGAGGGGGGATTTGTTTGTAAAAGCCAACAATATGGTGTTACTTGTCTCATAAAAAGCATGGTTGAAAGTGAATTTGAAGTGTTACTGGACTGTCTCAAAATGTACTGGTGTCACAAACATATAAGTTTGGATACCTAAATGTTTCTGAAAAATGGAATTGGAATTCACATTTAGTTGCAAAAACCACCGACTAAAGAGTCATCAACACCATTCTATCCACTCTTGTAAATTATGATCGAGTTACAAAACCAGTTTGGTTTTACAGTGGAATAATATGGTTTCTGCAAGGTTGTTTATGCCCCCATTTTCATTCAAGGGATATAGCGCCCAAATTAAAAAATTTCTGGCTGGTCTGTACCTTTAAAAACCTGTTCTTATGACTTTTAAACCTACTGTTACCAAAGGACTATTGAGTAAATACATATGTGTGTATGCTGTTCACTAAATTTCTGCTCGGGTTACAATTTTATCAAGTCATTAGGTTTATTTTCTGTTGATTTATGATTTACTCAAATATTTGATTCTGTTCAACTTTTAACAAGCAAACCTGCTGTGATGCAATCAAGGCCTTGCAAATGTTCATTAATAGATCTAGCTAGAACTTAAAAAGAATTTCTACAAATTATATTTCATATGTTTGTTTAAAAGATAAATTGAAGTGTACTGTTTATAAGAACACAAGGGTTCCTCAGAAATGTATGTGTCGCCTGCATAAAGTGTCACGGTCACCCAGAAATCAAACTGGATGTGCAACGTTCAACCATAAAGTTTTGATACCAAATTTCATTTCTGTAAGTTGAAGCATAAAGGAAAAACTGTGCAAAGCAATATCCCTGAGAAATTTTCTAAGTTCAATGGGGCATAACTCTGCCAAGAAGCGTTACAGACAGCCAGGAATTTTACTTAATCTGTACCCTTCCAACAAGAAGCCATATACCAAATTTCATTTCAATAACTCAAAGAATAACCCAAAAAGGTCCAGAAAACAATATTTCCAGTGAATTTTCTATGTTCAAAGGAGCATAATTCTGCCAAGAAGGGTTACAGAGAGCCAGGAATCTAACTTAATCTGTACCCTTCCAACTAGAAGCCATATACTAAATTTCATTTTGATAACTCAAAGCATAATCGAAAAAAGTCCGGAAAACTTTTATACGGACGCTGCCAACGCATGACGACGGACAAAGTGATCCCTTAGTGTAGACGTCTGGATATAGAGATGTTCAATTTTATTTACAGATAAGCTCATTATATGTCTACAAAGGGAAATAATTAAATTGCCAAGATATAGCTATCAACTCTGACAAATGTTTAAAAATTTATATACGTAAGTATATATATTAAAACATAAGAACACCCCATGTATATAAATCCTACTCTATATTTCACTGATAAATACATTTTGATATCAGATAAGAAAGTTACAGACTATCAAGGGCCAAACAGTATGTCTGACCTTATATATTACACATGTACTAGACAGATGCCAGTGATGAGGCAGATCAGAGAGAAGGGGCATAACTCTCATAATTGGTTTCTGGCAGGACTGTTGAGAAAATAGTCTTTAATTCTGGACAGACAGATAGAAAGATAAACAAATATGAAACCCTTAAAAAATATTTACTTAATTCAAATGGAAAGTAGAAAGAAAACTAAATGTTTTCTTCCTTAAAGATCTTTTTTGTTTAATTTCTTCTCTCTTTATTAATGGCTATGAATCATTACTGGCTGTATGAGTCTTGTAGTGAGCCTGAGTCACTTCTAGTTCTGTCCAAGTTTCTCCCTGATAAGACATCATCAATGATACGAGTCAGTCTCTCCTGCTTGTGGCTGTTTGCCACCTCAGACAACCACTCCAAAGCACAGAAAGTTTTATTTGACATCTCTTTCATGATATATATCAGATATTTAAGACGAACTCTGCTGCATGAAGAGTTCAGGTATACTAAGATGTTCTGTACTGTGAGGTCTTCTTGTTCAGCAAGGGCACAAAGCTGAAAAGAATAGAAGAAACACGTAGGATTAGTTATAGTCTGACATCACACTAGTCTCCATCACAAGTCTATCTTCCATATTTCTATACCAGCATATATATGATAATTTTTGTGTTACCAACTGACCTATATTTGAATTTGCTGAAGGGTTAGTTCTTTGTTACTTTTTAATTGTGTCATTGTTTCTTGCGTATTTTTGAATTTGTCATCAGTTTCTGAATACAAATCCACCGTGTCATTAGTTCTTGACTTCCTTGTGTACTTTTTGAATGTGTCATCAATTAATTATGGCTACATACAGCCTAAAGATGAAGATACATAAACATATCATCGAAGGTATTTTACAGAAATACATTTGTTCAAAATTTGAATGATGTAGAAAATACACAAATCAAACTCTATTGCTAATTATACATTCAACCAATGACAATGGAGCCATTCAAAACTTTTCTTTGCAGAGAGAAAGAAATGCTTTATGAAGGGAAGTAACTCCAGGGAAAAACAGCTTTGAAGTCAGTGGAACTCTCCTTGGTGATTATACAATGTAACAAGTACAGTGGTTCACTACAAACTAGGGCTTTCATGCATTCCTCACCTTCATTTTGAAATATGTGCATGAAAGTCTTTAGTAGACTCCATAAGACAGCTGGTATTGATAGATCATAAGCATCTTAGCAAAACTTGCAAACTAGTTTTTCCTGAGTTGTAACAGGAAAAAACCAACAAAAGACATTTCATGTTTACTGTCACCTATAAACCAGCAATCTTAGGCACACAATACCTCGACACAGCCAAACCCTCCCTTATCACTAACAATGTATCATAGCCCAAAAGTACCAAGGCCTGATAAAAAACAGAAAGCCTAATGACCAACATTATAGATATCAACTTTGGGAATAACTTCAAAGTCTTATTAAACTCTTACATACCACATCGTAGAGGAATCCTTTGACAATGTTATACAGCATAGAAAGTTTCGCAGTGAAAGCCTCACTGTCCTTTGAAGCAGAGTCATTTCTGTACAATGATGACAGAGGTTTCAGATTGGTTTCTTGGGATCCCCCTGCATCACTACAGGAATCCCCACATGTTGTTTTATTGTCACCATTTTGGTGTAAGTTTTGCGAGATATCTAGTCCATCTGTTTTAGTTTGTAATGAAGTCGATGAGGAGGAGTTCTGAGAATTTTCCGAAGAATCATGAGATGAAGAATATGACCTTGACATTAGCACTAATGGTGACAATGCTTCAAGTATTTTGACAAAAATTCTTATCAAATTTTCACCTGAAATAAAAGATAAAACAAGGGATGTATTTTCTTCTTTCTGTTCTCTTTAAAAACACAAATCTTAGCAACTGCATTATTTCTTGCATGAAAAAAGTTCTTTTACACTTCTAACATAATTTAATCACAGCATCAAAATTTAATGTTAAAAATTGTCAGATTATAGTCTAGGGTCAAATCTATATCAACTGGTCAGTCACTGAGACTATGAAAAAGACAGACTTTCCAATCCAATACCAGTATTCCAATAAATCTCTTATAAAATCAATTACCACACAAACTTCTCCTGAAACTATAAGTTGTTACAAAAGACTATATCAATAAAATATAAGTAACTGAAGAGTAACTACTCCAAAAGTTCCCAAAGATAGTCAATTTGACAAAAAATGAAATTGCTTTATTTATGAAATGATTTTATTTTTCAACCATTATGAAAAAAGCTTTAAGCTTTCCTTAATCCTAAAGAATTTTTTGGCCTAGATTGAAGTGCATGAATAGTCTTAAATTCGTTTGACAGACCTCTGGTCACTGTGTTAAGGAACCATGTTTAAAACTCCAGAATAGCAGTCATTTTCATGTTAACAAACATGTAATTAAGAGTCCACAATAAGACACCAATATGTACTATGTGTGATATATTTCAAAAGCCATGTTCATGGGCTTTTTACTTGATTAACACAAAATAAATCGGTCAACATCTAATTATAATGTACTAACATTCATCCATTTATGTGGAAACTTCTTCAAAAATGCTAACAAATGAAAATTAAACCAATAGGAATCTTACTTGAGATGAGTTTGTCATGGACAGAATCATCTGAGAGGAAGAGAATGTTGAGTACAGACAAGGTGGATGCAACACATGCTTCTCGTCCGTCCAGACCAACGATCTCGTCCTCACAAAGCACACCTAAGTATTTCATTAGTGGCACCTCTAGACCAGCACTACATGTAACTAAAACAAAAAAAGATTGTTTTCAATCATCTTTCAAATATATGTTATTTACAACAATGACAAGAATTTTTTAAACTCATTCTAGATTCAAGCATAAAGTATGCAATATCTTCCTCATTTCTGATAGAAAATATCAATTTATTTCGCAACAAAACCAATTTTAAAAACATTGTTTAAGATATTCAATAAATGTATACATTTCTGAGGTTTGAAATTATGAACATACACAATGCTTATCTCTCCAGTGGATTTTTTTCTTAGTTGGCAAATGTGAAATTTACAAGAACAATTTTCAGGACATGTAAAGCATACAGAATCTACAAATTTTGTATGTGCTTGTAATTGACATTACAACCAGCTTGCTGGACCTATACATTCTCTTAAAGTATGATGGAACTGGAAGTTAGTTAAAGACAGTTCTGATTCTTATATATATAATAATTCTCAGTGTGAAGCTGTCATAACTACATTCTCTTTAGTACAGTGAAGTTTTAAGCAACAAGTAGGTAAATATGTGACATGACAACATACCTAATGTTTCGACTCCTTTCTCTGTTGTGGAAAACATCTGAAATATGTGGAAGTAGATCTCCAAAGCATCACTATGATGACATCTGTCATTGAAGAAAAACATATGTATCATAACTGTCCTGTATTAAGCCCAGGTACCAATAAAGAAATTCTACATCAAAGTCAGAGGTTGGACTTGCTTTTTCTTAGTGAGGTGGGTGTATATCCAGGGGGTGGGCTTATTGACACATACTGGGTATACACTGTAAAATGTAACAGCAAAACCCACAAATACAAGCATTAACTCATTCTAGTTGAATTTATTCAAACATAGCAACAAATACAAACAAAGAAGATGAGTTTGAGCAAAATGAATGACCCTGCCAGCGACGGATGAGAAATTTAATTGTTTTGGACTTTGTTACAGTGTAACACAAAAGTAGGAATTAACTATGAATTGTAAATAAAAGATTCTATATCTTTGGTATACATTTTTCTGTAATCTATATTAAGACTTCCAAATGGCGTTAGGCAAGGCTCTCTGATTTCGGTCGATCTATTTTATGTACCATGTAAATGTCAATTAAAATTCTTCAAGTGAAATGGCCATCACTAAAGAAACAAGGCGGCAACTATGTGCTCCCCAAAACATTTTCAGGGAGCATTAAAAAAAAATGGCCATAAACAAATCATAACCTCACCTGAGATATTATCATTATACAACTACATCACAAATTACAGCTCTATATCTGTAGCTGTTAAACAGTAATGGAGTCCAAACAGAATCATGATGTAAATGATGATCAAGGGTAACAAAACAAGGGTGACAAAGAAATAACGTGGGCATCATAAAGTCATTCACAGGTTACAACCAAATCAAACTCTGACTATACCGTATTTATTCTGTAAAAAATCAACATGTTACTTCTGAATTAAGGTCAGGGGGTGGGCTTGTTATGCAGCAATGATACAGAATTTGTTAATAAGTTAACTGATATGAATGTACTTTGATATAACCAGGCATGGTTCAATCAAATAGATACAAACAATTATTTTTGTGCAGCCTTACCCTATTTGTTTGATAGCCTCCATCAGTGCCGTGATTAACCGAGAGGTTGCCCAAGCATCACACAAATCCTCTCTCTGGTCCAGCAAGATGTCGATCACCTCCCCAGCATTCTTCAGTAAGTCACCTAACATTATACGATCAAAATTACATGGGTCAGCTCATCACAGGAGTCTGTATATTAAGCCAATGTTATCTTAGTGTATGCAGGGAATATACTGATAATTTTTTGTTTTTGACAATTTATATCAAACACAAGTTTTTGAATATTGACAATTTTATATGTTTGTTTGTTTACTGGGATTTATTGCCCCCTAAACAGCAAGAGGCATTTTGTGAGAGGGTCTCTTTGTAGTAGCTGGTGGCTACCTTACAGTACATCATGCTGGAGGCACCAGGCATCACATGCTTTCCTGGGCAATTGGGGTAAAAGTGGACATGAAACAGAAAAATATCTCTTGTATTCTTAAGCCTTTTAACAATGTATTTTTCATACACAAAAGAATTCTTTTTCTAAAACAGAAACAACAAAACTTTCAAAAAACTTGAGAAAGGCCAGAGACTTACAATTTGTTGAGCTGCTGAGGATGAATATCAGATTGTCAAGAATTTCCTCTGATTCTGATACTGCTGATATCCAGGGCCCACTTGTGGAGGACTTGGATAAACTTGTGTACAGCAATCTGGAAAATAAACCCATTGTTAATACACAGAAATTTACAATCATACTGGTGTTTTTATGACATGTGATCATCACAAAACCCACAGATAGAAATTTTATAATCAAAGTGCCAAACTATTTTTTTTCATGGGAATGAAATTATCACTAATTCTGTAATAATCAAGAGTATTTCTGTGAAACTTAATCTAAGCTTTGTCCTTGTAAATGCATTATATGAAAGTTGACCAATCTATCTTGGTTTACCATGTTTCAATAATAAATAGGGAGACACCTATAAAAGCGTAGTACGACTGCTTCTATCATAAATTTGTCTCAACTTCTAACTTACCTTAAGCTAAATTAGGCAAGAAATTACATGTTTTATACAAAGTTTCTCCTGAATTGGACATACAATGTAAAATCTTAGACAGTAGTTCTAACCTTGTAGTTTCCACTAAAGTCGGTGGGTCTCTGTTTTCAAGCAGCATGATAATCAGATTTCTGTTAAAAAAAAAATAATAAAAATCAACTGACACTTTATTGGAGCTTTCGTCTTCTTTTTTTTATTTCATCTTTTAACAAGCTCCTTGCATTTTTGTCAAAATGGGAAATAATTAGCTGAAACATTATACTCCATTCTTTTTTTCAACAATGGGTCTATATCAATCACCTATTATGATTCTTGTAACATTAATGGGGTATTTAGTGAAAGAAAATGCCAAAGAGTTTTTAAAAAAGAACAAAAAAACAAAAAACAAAACAGGATTGTGTTTACTTTATCAAAGTACTGTAATTATCATTCTCATTCTCCCATTTAACCAAGTATAAGCCTAGGGCTCTCATAGAGCAAATGTACTGAAAATGGACATTAGTAGGGGATGGACATATCTTCTATGCCAAAGGGAAATTTTAGCCACCATCTTTGATTAAAATATGGAAGATGATCATCAAATCTACTTCTTACTTGGGGCGTGGGCTCATTTTTTGACAAAATTTTTTTTATTGGATATCAACATAACTGGAGAGCTTATCTTCAAATATTGGCTTATTTCTGCAGTATTATGGTGACTTACATAAGTTGTGTATTTTCGGCCATCACTTGGCTGATTTCTTCATCACAAGCCATGTTGCCTAGGATACCAACACATATTTCCTGTAACAATAAACCTCAGCATTGACACACATTTCTGTATACTAAAAAGTTCACAATGGAAAGGGAATCATTCGTTGTATTTGTCTGCAAGTTTCTTTTTCTATCGTGTAAAAATGAACATCACTGATATAGCACATGAACCCCAAGTGAAGATTGTTTAATTATATGAAGGTTATATCAAATGTGTTACGGTAATTGAATTTTCTTAAATCCAGTTAAACTTGAGAACCTTATGATCATATATTATAAGTGTTATTACCGTAACTCTTGGTGCTTTTGACTTTCCAATGACACTGATTAGAATGTCTATCGCTTTGAATTCTTGCAAGAATCTTGCAACATCCTGCAATGCATAAAAAGAAAAAGATAAACAAAATTTCCCACACTAAACACTGCAGTGAAATGTACAACAGGAAAAATACATCTGATTTAACGTTCTAACAGTATTTGCTTCAATTCAATTATGATAAATGTTACTTCAGATTCAGCAAGTCAAAACTATATTCTATGACATTGCAGATGGAATTCATCAGTTTGGTGTATATACTGTATAGATACAAATTTCCATGCGAGTTCTATTATCACTGGATTTGGGTTTACTCTGGAATCCAAAAATCAAAATGATATGCAGATGAAACTTAACTGATTTTAGTAGTAGTAGAATTCATGAGCAAAATTATCCAAGAAATTAAGTTCCAACGAAAATGCAAATTTTTTCTTAAATCACGAAAAACTGAAAATTTATGCTTTTACAGTAAACAAAATATGAGAACATCTTTATCTTTAGCACAAACAAAATATGAGAACATCTTTATCTTTAGCACAAACAAAATATGAGAACATCTTTATCTTTAGCACAAACAAAATATGAGAACATCTTTATCTTTAGCACAAACAAAATATGAGAACATCTTTATCTTTAGCACAAACAGCAATTGCAAACAGTTTTCAAATCTCTGATAGCACTAAAGATCAACATCTCAAATTACACTCTATTAAATACAATCCAATACCATATTCATGGAGATATCCCACAGTTTGCAGAGCTCATTTTGTAATTCCTCGTCTACATCCAATCCAAATGTGACATCCTCATCCCCCGACTCAGGTTCTTTATCAACCTCCTACCAAAACAACAGTATACAAAATCAAAATTATGTTTCATTATGTAATATTTAATTCATGAAGTCCCAGTCCTATCCTCTCTAATAGATAGATTATCAATACCTTAAACTTATTAATTAGAAGTTCTAACACTTCAAATTATCTAGTCAAGAGATCTAATGACACTTAATTCATGGTCATTAGAAACAGCATCAGGTTAATTACCCTGACTACAAATTCTCAAAAAAAAAAAAAAAAAAAACGAAAGGAAAAAAAAATCAATTCATCTCTATTGCTATTGAGTAGAATTTTACCCCCTCTTCCTTCCCAACAAAAAAAATTGAAAGTATACGATGAAGTTTCATAAAACTGAGTTTGGATCATTAAAAGTCTGTAAACAGGATCATAAAATATCCTAAGAAAAGTAAGCAGAGACAAACAGAATTGTTTACCTCTATAAGCTTCATTAGAGTAGAGAAAAGCCAGTGTTTGCTGAAGGTAGTGTTACTGATAGAATCTGCCTCCAGCAAATCAGTGTTACTGCGTAGTTCTGGGGGTGGAGATGGGTTACGGGTACGCTCCGGAGAATCAACATGGCCAACATCTGAAAGATTTATAGATATATCTATTATATATATTTACCATTGTATGGCAGTAAATGACACAGTGCACCCTTACAAAAGTCAGCTGTATACTACCATTCCATGAAATGCCAACATTGCAATATAGGCAAGAATATAATGTACACATACACTTCCCCACCTTACTCTGTTTATATCTATAAGCCACGCTTCCTCTAGTCACATGCCTATGTTCTTGTTGCTTCTTCCACATGCAGAGAGATTTAGACAGCAACGTAAACAACAGCATTTCACTTTCTCTGTCCACTTCTTTTGTACAATCATTGGAGTCATTATTTTTGTAAGTGAAATTAGGCTTAGAGAATCCGTTTGTTTGTTTTATTGTTGTTGTTGTTCCTTTTTTATTGTAATAGTATAAAACATAACTTTGGAGAAATCCTGATAAGTCATTATCATCCAAATACAGGATAAGGTATATAAACTTATATTTGTTCTAAACTTTGAAACATAACATTGGTTATCACCTTGTAGATGAAAACAATCAGGCACGCATATGGAAATGACAATTAATTCTCACAATCATCAATAAGACATTTGAATTCTGCCCCAGATATGGCTCACATACTTCTCTCATTTTTTTATATTAACAGCGCTGGAGTTCTGATGTCCTTCACCTCCCAAACTAATTTTGAAAGGCTATTACATTAAAAAAAATCACATGACTGTTAATGTAATCTCTGTATTCAGTGAAGTTTATGTTAGCTAGCCAGGCTGTATCACTCTACACAATCTGTGATGTATAATGTGCATATGATGTTTGGAATTCTACTTATGACAAGTCAAAGTAAGAATAAGAAAAAGTTGCTATCTATAGTTACTGGTAAATCAATTTATGGTATGAATGTGATTTTTTCTTCAATGGCATTTTTTATCATTTAACCAGAGTAATACTTTCTAAACGTGAATGTTCACAATACCGATTCTGTAAACCTTGTTCAGATTGTCTGAAAGAAGTACACCACCTGAAAATACTGTGTAGTTCGCATGGAAATCTCACAAGTTATCATCCCTGAAAATTTATAAATAACCATAAACTATTTATTGATATCCATAAGTGATTTATAATTCATTAATGGATATCCAAATTTAGGTAGTAATCTTTTGCCACTTTGCTATGATTGAAGTGGACAACAAATAATTTACAGCAATTATAAGTTGGCTGATGGCCCCTTGAAAACAATTGTGGCTTACTTATGAGGAATCGTGATTTTGCTTTGCTCATTACTGACGAGCGGACGCAATCCAAGTCTGGGACTCATGTATGCTTATCGACAACTCGGACGGAAAATCAACAACGGAAAATTCGGGCCGAATTGTCTCTTTAACATGCACGAGGCGACGTACACATATATCTAATCGCTGAAACAAAAACATACCGTCAGCCATCTTGCTTTGACGTTATTATTTCAAGTAAAATGTGACTGGAGGTACGCATCAAGACATCATACTTCGAAGGAACATTCAATGCTTCTTGGGCAGCAAAACACTCCAACACTTCCCGCTAACCCACTGACCTGTGGGGGTATCCCTACAGTGTTCTCGATTTTGATTGGTTAGAGACGGGGATTCCGGATGTTGATAAAAACTTCGATCTGGCACTCTGGACATATCAATAAAAGAGTAGTCTTGTTTGTATAAGGACACCTAAATAATGTTATGAACTGAGGTTGTCGCTCATAACATATTGCACGAAATGCATTCCACGTATGGTTAACTATTACATTGTTACTATGATCAAATTTACTTGACATGAAGTATATATCGGACTGTTCCGGATTCTGAATGCTACACTAATATTAGTATAAACCAATATGGCAGCCTCTATGGTTAGAACGTGCGGTTTCCGACTGAATAATAGTATTGAAATATTTAGCCGTGTGTTTTGTGAACCAGACTACCAACGTCGCATTTCTAGACACTTCGTTTCACAAGAACAGTATAGTGATTCTGTAAAAATCAAAAGGAAACATATCGCGGAGAAAGTGTGGACGGATAACGATTTTGAAGTCCATAACAGGATTTGCGGATTGCTGCTTGGAAAAAAAGGAAAAGCGCTGAAGAAATTTATATTTGAAACTGGGATTAAGTTTAATGTGCAAACGACGGATGATGGCTATATTTTAGTATCCGGGAAAAATGCCGAAGTGGTGAAGAAAGCAGTGGGAATAATTACGCCACATATCAACAAAATTAAACGAGAAGTACAGAATTCTATATGTGAAAAACTATTTATAGACGAAGACGAAGCTATTCGTTACAAAATTACTGGTCAGTTGATCGGTAGAAACGGACAAAATATTGACAGGATAAGAGCAGACATTGGGATTGAATTCAAGGTGGTAACACTTTATGATGGTCATTTACTCGTCTATGGGACTGATGATGGAGCGGTAAAGTGCGCAAAAGAAAGATTGACACTGGAAATACAAGAAATAAGAAATGGTATTTGTGAATATTAGGCTTATTTGAATTAAACTCTGACAAACATTTATAGGAAACTTTGTTACTGGCGGATCTTCATTCAGAAAACAATCCATAGATATATTAAATGTTTTCATACAATCAAGAATCCCCATGTTATTACATCTCTCATACTGCTTATTTGTTTTTGAGAACATCTATAATTTTCCAAAGTTCCTTTTGGTGTTAGTAAAGTTCCAGATAAGTATTTAGATTTTGAAACATTTTCAGGCGCATATAGCTGCCCAAATATAATGGGCCAATAAATGACCCCATGGCTGTGAACTTTATATTAAGATAGAAAGACCTTGAAAACCTACTTTTAAGCTATGTGAGTCTGTTTTAATATTTGTGACTTCATCAATCATGCATCTATACTAGTAAAACACACACAACAAACTTGTATTTATTTGGATCAATGTCCAGTACCAATATTGGACTATACAATTGACATTGCTTGCTAGACTCTATCTTAACAACATTGTCCAAAGCACACAAGAATTGAAAGCTAAACTATACATATTCACTGATGCTACCTCTCTTTACACCACTGTTGATTTTTCTTTAATCAATGCTTAAATTCTTAATTGTTACCTTAATCAAATTCTTCAATGATTGCAAAGGCAGCAACTCTACATTTTACCTCTTCTAAAACTGAAACCCGCCTAATTAACAGAAAATTAGGACCATTAACCTACATTTGTAGAAGTAAAAAAAATCATAACTATAATGAAGACAAAAGTGTTCCACAAAGTATGCATGGAATTAGCACATGCTTCACACAGTACAGTTTTAATGTCCAACTTCAGAATTTTGTTGCAACCAAGGGCATATATGGTATTTCATAAACACATCTTGTTCTTTCCAGAAATGGTCACTAAAATGAGCACATCAGTTATCCAAAACTGAGATTTTTCCTAAAATAAACATCCTGCATAAGTTAAAATTCTCAATGAACATATCCTAATTCAACACATATACATGTCCTAGAGTTTGGGACTGCCATACTAAAGCTCAATATGAGTTATTAGAAGATGTATATTTAGAAGCAGCTCACAGTCACAGGTGGTACTAGAAATACATGTAGATTTAAAATGTATATTTAAACAGGCAGACTTCCTCTAAAGAAAAGATGTAAACAACGCAAGGTTATTTTTTTCCACAAACAACCCCCCCCCCCTTCAAAAAAAGAAAAAAATACCAACATGTCTACGTAATCATAATTCAAACTCACATTCAATAAAGCTAAGGCAAGTGGGAACAAAAGAAAGATTTACTTGGAGACTCCTGAGAAAGTACAGGGAGAATAAGACCAGGTGTTACGGAAGATAGAGTGTCTTCTGCTTCATTGACAACATCCGTCGTACAAATCTTGGTCAACCAAAATAAGTAATGTCACATTCTCAGATGAGAATAAGGTATACAACAATGAACTAAAAGGCAAACTAACGTGCTTCAAATGTGTCCACTTTCCTATCACTCAAAGAAATAGAATATTTCTCAATGAGATCAGTCTGATGACCATCAAACTTCCGCATGATTTTCCTCAACCTGCACTTCATGCACAGAAATGATAATGATCCACGGTCTGGTTCCTAATGTAATCAAAACTATCGTGATTCTCATATGGGCTAGTATTTTCGTCCAAAAGCTTGTCATATGAATGCTTTCTGATATGTCGTCGGTATCTTCTTGCTAGACCTTGTTAAGAACAACCCTTCAATTTATAAATTTTAAATCAGCTCACACAATTTCAATTTTCTGCTTTAGTGGCACTAGATTGTGTCAAATACATCATGCTAAATTAAGAATGAAGTGTATAGTTCCTTTAAATTTTATCTGTGCTGGAAAAATCTTATTGATAGTCCTCTGTGTTCTTCTACGGAAGCAGATGAAACCAACAAACATTATTTATTTCATTGTGTTTTCCCCAACTTTGATTACAAATCACTCATTAAATCACAACAGATTTCCTTTTGTTAATCAGAAATGATAAGCTTACAGATGGAAGTACTTCCTGTTTTTGTAAGTCCTCACTAATCTTAAAGATTTGACCAATTTCTTTTCATTACACACCTGCCTGATTTACCTTTTCCTTTTCACATTTGTACAAATTTCCATAACATGTACACCTCTTGAATTGTTTTTTTTAAAACAAACAATTTTGGTCTGGCATAGTTGAAATATAACTTGATATTGATAGAGTGATGTAAAAGCATGTGGAGAAATTCCAAATCTTCATTTTTGTGACAAACTAATGTTTCTGAAAAAATGAAGAACCTTCTCCCAGTGTTCCATCATACTGCTTTTGTAAAACATTAAAATGACTGCTTTCTTCAAAATAATATCTGTTGTTTTGCCTCTTCATAAACAATGTTCACAGCAAAGGAAGACAAGAACAGATCATTAATTTCAAATGTTTAGTATTCAAATGGCAACGACGATATACAATACTGTAAACAAGTGAATGAGTTTGTAAAAAATTGATTGAATAGAGATAGCTCATAAAATTAAGTGCCCTTCATAAATCTATCTAATATAACCTAGAAAAGGTGTATAAACTGTATCACATAATTTTGTATGGAGTAAATAATAAAATTCAATTTAATGGAGCATTTTCATAAAAAATTGAAAATGCCTTTCTATCATAATGTAAATTATAGTTTAGTAAATGTAAACTGCATTACATTATCATGTATGGAGGTAAAATACCACAGAGCATTAAACAGAGATAAGTAATGCTGGATGATGGATAAACAGAGGTTTGTGAAAATAGATGCCATACAAACAATTTCTGAAAACTTATTTATAATGGACAGTAAACAATATTCAATAAAACGTTAATACTCTTTATAAAAGGTATTGTTACAAACATTGTTAAGATTAATAAGATATTGTTTTTCAAAGCATTTCTAAAAAAGTAAGAATTTTATAATACAAAGTATACAGATGATATTCTCAAGGTTTAAATTTGGTATGAAAATTTTTAATGGCAATATCTTTACATGTATGAATGATCATTTTTGAAGATTTGAAAAATGAAAATAATTTCTAAGGTGTCCATTGTTTTAACTCGGTATTTAAAAGTAACTAGTAAGATAGTTTTCATGATATGGATTAGAGACAAAATTTTGAAAATAGATTTCAGTAAAATCTTTGATAATTATCAGAATTTTATGAAACTTGTGTGTTATCTTCAAATCAATGACTGAACGAGAACATGAAATATAAGTTTAAAAGTGAAAACAAAAAGTTAAAACCAGATGGAAATGTCTGGCCAATAATTTGGGAGCATAAAAATCCTAATTACCATACAATATTTCTTATCTACTGAAACACAAATAACAGAAATACGATAGTCCATGTTGATATGGGAGTAGTTGAAAATGCGATACTGATGTGTCAGTTAATTTTCTGTAAATATGGACATTATTTTTGGTTGCTTACATAACTCTGGTGGTGCCAGGTACTTTTCCCTTCGTCCATTCATCATTTCATTACAGTTAACAGGTGATGGGCATGGTAAGAGTAAACGTGACTTCCAGTGTCCTTTTTGAAAGAATCATATTTCAATACTATTATTTCATGTATAAATTTTGAAATACAGCAAGTTTTTAAATTATGACTGACTTTCATCTGATTGCATTTTGAAAGTGTATTGAAGTTTTATTGAATTCAGTAGGTTTATGCCAATGTTTCCGATGTATATCATATTCCTTATAAATCATATTCTAAAAGTGATAAACGCTACAAACACGTTTCCCTACTTTTGTGTCATTCATTGTGCCTCAACTTCCTTTGTTATCATCCCTGTCCCATCCATACCCAGTGTTTTAAGGTAGGCCTATACTTTCATCAGATCACAGAGAAACACAAAATGGCGATGTTTGTAATTAATATTAAAAAATACTCTTTTTCTCATGAGTTCCTGTATACACGACCATTCCCTTCATCATCACCCTGTCCGCAATGCACAGTGCCGATTGAAAATAGT